ATCAATGTAATTCAATGCTACCAATGTAATAATACAAGATATTGGCCCACACTGTTTTTATTCAATACAAATATTTTTTTTACTTTGAATTATTTTAATACAAAAATTCCTGTTATGCGATACAGGCTCCTTAGAGTAATTTGATTTAAGCGAAAATGTGAAGGGTAGTTATAGAAATATGCACCCTCATGATCACATTTTGAGTAATCAACAACTGTGCTTGTAATCCAATAATTCGAAGTTAATTTGTTGTCCAAACGAATTGGTCCCAAAAAATAATAAATCATAATAGAACTTTTAACTTGTAAATTTTGAATGCATTGACAACGATTACTAGGTAATCTTGTGAAGAATAATCATATATTTTATTATTAAGGCAGAGAGTTTCAGAGAAGAAGATTGAATTGTGAAATTTTACTTGCGACAGATGCCACAGGATTTCAATAGCTCACATGGCCTCATAACTCAGTTAGAGAGCTAAAAACGGAGAGGGAGTCCATGAAAATTACTAGTAGATCTTAAACATTCATTCATTTCAATGAGATTTTGCTGAGGTTCTTACCACTTACTTCAATAGGAAAAATATATGAAATTTGAGTGTACAGGAGACCAAAAATTGTTATACCTTTTTTTGAGGCTATGCATATCTCCCCTTTTTGAACAATCATCAACATACTTTTGAATTATTGACGACTTTGCCAGTTGTGAACACAAGAATCAACGTTGTGTTTTATCAGCACAATTTTAAAGTTCTGAGCACAAGATTTAAAATTGTGAACTTAAGTTTCAAAGTTATGCAAACCCCGTTAGATGGGTACTGATTGACATTTTAGTCTTGGGGATCATGGTTTAGTTATTAGCTGAAATTGGGCTTTCTGCTAGCCTTCAATAACTGCTAGTACTCTCAGATCGGTAATTGTGTCAATTGTCTTTTTGTTTATGCGCTATGTACCGATCTAATCGGTTAATAGTTATCAAAGGTACCACTGTCCCAGAATAAGGAAGGATTTAGCACTCGCAAACCCCGCCACATGTGCCATTGGTTGTCGTTGGTTGCTATCTGCCATATATGTTTTTTTCTCTTTTGAATTATTGCCCAATGTGTCAGCACAGAACATTCTCTAGCAGGACAACCTTACCAACCTTGATAGTAATCACAATTAGTAAAGATTGTGTCAATCAATTTGGCCTTTATGTTTATGCACAATGTTTATATCCATTGCAGGAAGGGTCCTTGTTTGTAAAATATGTAGAGGAAATGTAATAAAAAATAAAAATTATTTTTTTTTAAAAGTCAAAAGTTTTTAGAAACATCTTTTTGTTGTAGTTTTTCAACAAAACTAATACTAAGTTATACTATGCTATTCGAAATTGGTTGAAAAACTAGCGGTAAAACCTTTGTTTTTGTTAAAATAATATAAAATATTTTTTTGCACTAGGATTTCATCGAAAATTGATGTGTAGGTATGATATGCTATCCCAAATCGATTAGTTTGTGTACAACATATTTTCAACAATGATTTCAAGGAAAATTGATGCATAGACATACTTTAATTTTTCAAATTGTTTCCCAGTATCAACTTAAATGTTGTTGAAAAGCACAAATTTTGAAAACCAGCTTTTATGCGATTCCTATCAAGTTTTCCTTGATAGAGGATTGCTTGTTGCTTACAAGAAAGCTATTACACCAATAGTTTCAAATGGTAAAGTTTTGGTCATTCCTTCGAAAGTTGTACCTACGCAATCATGATTTGGTTGAACGTAATGAAATATCTGTATCACAGATGACCACGGATAGGTTCCATTATTCGTTATCACAATTCCTGCCTCTTTTCTTCGATTGTGACATTGCCGAATGCTACGTATCACCGGATTTTCACTTGCAATACCCAACTTGGCGGGTGCTAGTAGTGTAAGCTTTTTTTTGTTATTGCTTTTAACTGTCTTTAAAATATACTAACCTGCAATGGATAGTGACATATGTTATTTTTTGAATCCTGCTTGTCAGATAATTATCTAACAAGTCGACTTAGTTAACTGACAAATTGACGAGTCAACTTTAGTATCTGACAAATTGAATTAAGTGTTAAATTTGGCCCATGTACTGTTTAAGTCGAGTCAATAAAATTGGAAGAATTAAACATTAATGCAAATCAACCAGTTTTACAATGTTTTGTAAGAATAAGAACGAAAATCACTATTTGTTACAGAGGAAGCTCTCCCCCAACACATTTCACAAAATATAATCTTAAAAAAGACCCTCTGAAGATAAAATCGATTTGTACAGATATATTGTTGTTTAACATCCTAATAAAATTAAATTGAGAATGGAAATGGGGAATGTGTCAAAGAGACAACAACCCGACCATAGAGCAGACAACAGCCGAAGGCCACCAATGGGTCTTCAATGCAGCGAGAAACTCCCGCACCCGGAGGCGTCCTTCAGCTGGCCCCTAAACAAATATGTATACTAGTTCAGTGATAATGGACGTCATACTAAACTTCAAATTATACACAAGAAACTAAAATTAAAAATGATACAAGACTAACAAAGGCCAGAGACTCCTGACTTGGGACAGGCGCAAAAATGCGGCGGGGTTAAACATGTTTTTTGAGATCTCAACCCTCCCCCTATACCTCTAGCCAATGTAGAAAAAACAAACGTACAACAGTACGCACAGAAAAACTCAGTTTAAGAGAACTCCGAGGCCGATGTCAGAATAGGAAACAAAAGAAAATAAACAAAATGACAATAATACATAGATAACAACAGACTACTAGCAGTTACTGACATGCCAGCTCCAGACCTCAATTAAACTGATTGAAAGATTATGTCTTCATCGTATGAATATCAGGCACAATCCCTCCTGTTAGGGGTTTAGTATTATACCATCATAAAATATATGAGAAGAACATAACCCGTGTCATGCCAACAACTGGTTTTAGAATAAATATGTTTAATTCCGATGCAAAGACCCTATAAGTGAATCAATATTAAAGCAAAAATATGCAATCTTTAATGACCTGACAACATTATCGTAATTATATTCCTTCTTAATAAGTCTGTTTAAAGGTTTTGTTAGCTTTTGAGGTGAATACCGACATTTTTGTGCTTTGTAAAGAATATTACCATAAAAGATTGGATGTGAAATACCCGAACGTATAAGATGTCTGCATGTTGAGTTATATTTACGAATGATGTCCTTATACCGATGATAAAATTTTAGTAAATTAGTAAATAAGTCTGTTTTCCTCATGTGTCATCTATGCTAAACAATTCAATTTAAACCCCAATATTTCGTGATACTTAAGGCACAGATCATTCGTCGTTTTTAAAGTATATGTTTTAAGGGTATATGTCTTTTTTTCTGGGAACAAACAATTTCTTTCCCCGATATTGATAATAAAAAACAACCATTTCAATGAAATACAGAAACAAGAAACATATTTTGAAACTCAATGTTATATTTACACCCCTCAATGTTAACAAACTATTTATTTACTGCCCTCCAGAGACAATTAATATTTTCAAAATATTTATAATCAAACAATTTATTAAAAAAAAAAACTCCCCCCCTCCCCCCACACACACAAAAGATGAATGGTCGGTACAATAGAACCTATCAAAAACCAACAAAAACGACGTGCTTCGTGTAGATTTGTAACCACAGCTTCCGAATCGAGAGAGGTAGTTATGAAAAAGCTGTTTAATATTGGTTGCAATTCCTCGCTAAGATAGAATATGCCAGATTTGCTCACTCAAGACGGGTGAAGATGAAGGTAATTTTTATTAACATGCCCTCTTTACAATGATATTAGAGAACTATATATTAATACCATTTTTGATAAGTTGCATAACTTGAGAAAATAACATAACGATTATCTATTTATCTGGATAATGTCAAACGATGATATATCTGAATTCTTTTTTTTGAAATAAGAAGGGTAAAAGATCTGTTAACAAATATCTATCTTGCAAAAATATATATATGTAATTTTAAATAATTTAATGTGGACCTGGAGTTATCCACCTTTGTATACCTTATGGTCACCCCAGTTTTTGGTGGGTTTCGTGTTGCTTAGTCTTTAGTTTTCTATGTTGTGTCATCTGTAGTATTATTTGTCTGTTTGTCTTTTTATTTTTGGACATGGCGTTGTCAGTTTGTTTTCGATCTATGAGTTTGACTGTCCCTCTGGTATCTTTCGTCCCTCTTTTATGGACTGACTATTGAACAATGATTAATATTTGTTATATCTATTAATAATCAAAATTATATTGTATCGTTATAATCTGACAGGTCAACTTTGTATACATCCGGGATATGCGGGAGGTCGTTGATTCGAAACCAGGCCGGTTCAAACCAAAGACTAATTGGAATTTGCTGCTTCTCCGCTTAGCACACGGCATTAAGGAGTAAGAGAAAAGACTGGTCGGCTCGGATTCAAAATAATGTGTCCGGGTAGGTGGGATGTCTTCCTGCGGACTGTTACCTTGTGAACTAGCACGTTAAAAATCCGGCTCAGCATACATGTAATCGATTCCTTTACCATATTGTCATCACAGCGATTTTGAATACATCAAAAAGCATTCGTTTCGATAAATAGAATTTCTGTTTCTTTATTAAATGTATGAATAATAAGATGCTCCTCAACATCACTCAGTTTGGGGCGAATTCTAGATATATCAAGGTAATCTTTAATGTTTGTCAGTCTATTTTCCGAAACACAATTATGCTTTTTTTGAAATACAATTTTAATGGTATTGGTCGTTTATATATGTACCACTTGTATCATTCACAAACAAAGGGTATGTTTCGTTTTTATTAACAACAGACAGATGTGGAATTCATATTTATTGATGCATGTTCTTAAATATGCTTCCATAATAATTTTTTGATGTGCATATTTTATTATAATGATAATTTTTTACCAAATGACATTAATTTATTTAAAAATTAACATCACTAAGGAAAAGGGACCAAAAAAAAAAAAACGAAATATTAGTTTTCTGACTATTTTATTAATTAAAATTCAAAATTCTAATATCGATCCGTAACGGAATGATATAATGTGTGTTATAATATATAATGTGTATTGTTGTTCACAGCATTCAGTACTGTCTAATAAGATATCTAAATCTAATTTACGGGAAAAAAATGCAATGCATGAAAACAAAAGATCTCTAACGATTCCTCAGTATTGACGAAAACAGCGCTACGGAGACATAGCTGCTTGGCATGATTTTTTAAAAGATTTTTGCTTTTTATTTTCAAGATATATTGCCAATAAAATAAAATAAATAAATATTTTTGAAATTAAAGATAATTATTAATCATTGTTTTCCTCAGTACATACAAGATACATGTATATCTATAAACTGGAATGCAAAGTTTTTTCTTCTTTCAAAACAACTACATACTTATAAATGTTGACACTGATGCATAAAGTGTTTTGATTCACAACCAATTAAACTGATAAAATAAACTGTTACGGACATTGTTACATTCTAGGAACAGCCGCGATGATATTTCAAGAAAATAACTTCACATGCGTAAATTGACATATCCGATAGCGAAACATAACCTGTATAGAAGCAAAATCTGTCATGTATTTTTAAGTAAAGGGATGTTTTCATTTTTTAACATTTCAATTGAATTTAGAAATTTGCTTCCGACATTGACTTTTTGAGATTTTTTATAACTTCTTACATCTATAGCTTTCAACACCAAATAGGTATGTATCGATCTTTCAAAAAATATTCAACTCGGATGTTTTTCGAATGACGAAGAAATTAATATGATGTCCACTAAATACCACCAGGGTCATATATAGGAGTGACATATGACTTTAAAATGTGTCAAATATAATAGAATTTTTGCAGTTTGTGTACAAAAGTTATCTTTACTTGTGATATCACAGATTCTTCAATTTGTAAATAAATCTATAATTCTAATTCATTTCTTAAAGAAGTCTAAAAGAATAAAAATGATTCCATATTTAGTACAAAATATTTGCAAATTGTTTTCTTCTATTCGTTGATAGTATTTACATAGAGAACAGTACAATTTGAGAGACGCTTAACATGATCAATATTGATGTGAAAGGTTTTATCATCGCCACACCCCCAGCGAGATCTTCTGTCGCCTGAAAGTCAACCACTGAACCGGTTTTGTCAGTAAATGAATGCTGGTCTTTGGTTCCTGGAATTAAAAAAAAAATAATAAACAAATTAACATTTATTTTAATACATTATGGCCTTGTGTAGAAAAGAAAAAATAATTGAGAAGGAAAAAAAATTGAAGTGTGAATCTTAGTGAATTTGTTTTAACAAGTACATAATCAGCACTAGGACAAAAATGTCCAAATACAAAACAACTATTGTCATAAATAAAAATATAAAGTTAAAGCATGTATAAAATTACAAGACACATTAGAATACAACGGAGTAGATATCTCAATTCCGAACTGAATCCCTTGTTTAAAAAAATCCGCCTCGGTGGTCTCGTGGTGGGTGCTCGCTTCGAGTACGGAAGTCGTGGGTTCAACACCCAGAAAGGTCAAACCTAAAACATAAAAACTTCTCCGCTAAGCACGCGACATTATAGATGAAATAAGAACAAAGCCTAATTGGTTGGCTCGGAGTCGGAATAAAGTGTCCGGGTAGGTGACATGTCTTCCTGCGGACTGTTACTCTGTGAACTAGTACGTAAAAAACTCGGCTCAGCTTGTCAGTCTAGTTCAAAGCAGGGTTCATATTCTTTTCGCATTGACACATTATCGTCTTCAATATAAATTTATTTTACCGCTGCTTGGATGTTAAACAGTTAATCTCCATCCATCATGAAAAAACATCCATCCATTCATAAAAAAACCTACTCGTAGGTAAATAAAAAGTACCAATATGCCACCTTTGAAATAATACATGTAGAAACCCAAAATAAGGACATAGGTCCTTCTTTAAATTTCTTGTCCCAAATCATCATAATATGGAATAAAACGTCTTTTTTGAAGAAGAATTCACTACGCTATAAATGTTACGGGTACTAACTAATTTCTTTTTCCTAGCATTTGACGTTAACATCGTTTTCGTCTTCTGAATCAGCTTTCTGTGATTTACTTTATTGTAAACTGATGTTCTGTCATTTCTCTTATTCTAGTCCGAGATTACTCTGACGTCCGATGGCCTTTGTTGTATAGGTTCTTAGTTTACTAATTTTGTTACTTTTAATTCAATTTTAAAGATAAAATTTCAGTTTAGATCTGTTTAAATTCTAAACGATGTTAAAACCTTTTTAAAAAAGGACATGTGGCATGATTGCAATACGGTTGATTCCAATCGTTATCTTTCCGTCAAAGTGTTTGGTTTTAGGTGACGTTATTTGACGTCATTTGTGCGTTTGTTGGGCATAAAATCTACGTCAGTACGTTGAGCTAAGTTGAATATTCTATTTGGATAACTTTCTTATGACTGCTTTGATATCTGTTTTTAAATGAGAAAATTAATATATTTCTTTAGGCAGGGTTGGATTATGTACATAAGAATAAAGGCGGGTGTTTGAAAAATGTCAATCATTCACATTTACTTTATCAGTTCAAAGATGCAGGGATCCAGTTAGCCCATAACGCGTTTAAATTACGTGAGAAATCAGAGTATAGTTAAAGAGTATTTCTGGTAATGGAAATGATATGGATCAAACGTATTAGACAACTATCCAGCAGAGTCAAAATTACGTAAATGTAAGCAATTATAGGTCACCGAACGGCCTTTAAGTTTAACAATGACCAAAACCCATAGTATTTTATATATAGAAATGAAATATCAACAAAGAAATGGTAATGTACCTCCTGTGACTGTCCCTTTCGCAAACAGTATATAGTAGTCTGTAGTAAGATTAAAAACCTGCGGGTCAGAATTCGTGTTGCTTCTTGTCAACTCACATGTCAGAATGTTGCTGGTGTAACTTGCCGAGGTACCTGTTAAACCATCTGTTGGCTGAAATAAGATGGACACAAAGCCATATTTGAAAAAGTCTTAGAAATATCAGTATAACTTTACATGTATTTAAATTACAGTATTCAATGAACAAATGCCAACATGAACTGTCTTTTCATAATGGTGTATATGTTCCCATGTTTCTTTAATGATCTCTTATACCAAAATAAGCATATATTTTAATCGTTTTAAAAAAGCAGTTAGTATGTTTATTCTGTTTTTTTTTTTCGCTTGGTCACGCTTTAGTCTTTGATTTTAGCAGTTTCCTCTTGTTTTTGCCATTTATAGATCGCATCTTACGAGTGATAGAAAATCATAGATATAAGACGCACACGAAATAATTACAATTTCATTTTCTATATTGTTATATTGTATTACTACAAGAGATTTCAAATATTTGGTTTTGAGCGCAACTGTGAAATACATTTTTGATGCGCATTTGTATTCTGTTTGTCGTAAAAAAAATCCTTTCGAGGAATGTAATTTTAACAGGCGTTTGTGTTGCAAAATATGTTGCAAGTATTTCGAAACATGTGGAATTTGTTTTTACATCACGGTTATCCCCCTGTCTTGTCGATGGTTAACCCTTGTTATCTCCAAACTTCTTGATTTTATGTTATTATTGTATAACACTAAGCATTTTTAAGACTTCCTTCTAAAGATCATTATACATACTTTCACATCATGCTGATCAGTATTTCCATTTATCAATACTTTGATGGTTGGTTAAGGCGATCTTTTCCTTAACCCTTGTTGTTAGAATTCGATAGAGGGATCAGTTTTGTAACTTACATTTGATACAACGGTGTTTGTCCTTCCAGATGCAGCGTTATAAGAATTCTCTGGAACAAACGAAGTACCGCTACTTGTCATAAGGCATGATGTCACACTGGAACTTTGCTACAACCAATAACAATTACATTATATATATAACATGCACTTTGGGGGACGAATTACTTGCCGAAACTTAACAAAGAAAAACTGTGAAATTAAAAATTACTTCCTAAACTTAGACAACGCCTCAGATTACGGAGGTACCTTCAATTTCAAAAAATCAGCCGAAATAGCTGTTTCGCACAAAAAGGAAGTATTCGCTTCCAAATGATCAGTTAATGATAATTTCAGTATAACATTTTGTTTCTTTATAGGTAAATATTAACGATCATTTTCATTTTTTCTAAAATCTATCGTATAATCCACAATATTAGAGATAACATTGGGTAGTTGTATAATTACATCCTACCCCTTTGTCTCAATCTCACTAATGTGTATTCCGAAAAGTGCTCACTGTTCGCGAATGAAATTCATACTATTATACTATTATTTTTCTTTTGATTCATTTGTACGCGCATGCTTCATATACATAACCTTGAGCATTATATTGTTCAAATACATAATGTTTTACATTGCCTGGTATCGAATGGTAGTATGAAGGCGGCTATAAAAATCTTTATGCTCGCAAAATCGTTATTTTCTTTGGGCGAGGGGAGGGGGGTAATGGGTGGTTCAAATGAATAGTTTCTAAAGAAAAATTTAAAGCTGTATCTAAAAGGGCAATTTATGTTATTACTAAAAAAAGAATTTTGGTATGGGTCATGAAAGTCATTCTCGACAATTTTTGAATAATTTATATTTTTTTCAAAAATCTATGTTGGCAGATTTTAGTCATGTTAAGCCTTTATGACTTGGTAAAATCTTTTTTTTTTTTTTTTTTTTTTTTATAAATAAATCTTTTATTGTACATTTCTCTGCTGTTTTTACAACTTACACGACTCACAGCATTCAGTCGGGTATCCCTGTAAATTAGTTACTGTTTAACCAGGGAGATTATACAGTAAAATTTATATCTATTAAATATGGTTAGTTATACAATGAATACATTGATTTTAACAATTTGTTTTTGAAGTCTTTATTATATTAAGTAATTACGGAAGTTGTACTATCTATTGTCCGATATTGTTTATAGTTTAATCGTTGACCTTAACCTTGATCAAAATAGTTCACGTGAAAGTTGAGATGATCGGATGATTAAAGAATACCACGGCATGTGTATTGATGATGAGAGCAGAAGGATCTTATCTAAGTATTTCTAATGGTGAGTTTTGGAAATATTTCCATCGCTTTTTAATAAATTTATAGAAAGAATCATGATTTATTCTTAAATATCAAGGATTTTTCCGGTCAGTAGACAGTACAGGGTCAATGTTCAATAAGTTTGTTGTACAGGTAAACATTGATCATTTATCACATTTTTAAAAACACACACATGAAACTTAAAATTTCGCAGTTGTTTACATTTCATAAAGGTTATTCTACGTAATATACAGTATATAATGATACTGAAAAATAAGAACATATACACATGATACAATATAAACATGGTTATTATATATTTTTATAAACATCATTCAAAAATCTACTTGTTTTTTTATCAAGAAGTTTCATACTTTCAAAGTATTGTTTAAATTCTAACTTAAAAATTCTATAGACATCAACACTATTTTGTTTATACTCTGATGCATATGTAGATTTATGAATAGAGAACATTAATACAGTGAGAAACAGATTTATGTCATAGTATGTTTTATCATATATTTTGTAGCCAAGTATTAGATTTTTATAGGTGATTATCTGTGTCCCCATTTTTATTTTATTAAGGAGTACTTTGACCTTTTTCCAAAAATTTTGAAAGTATTTGCAAGTAATGAAGAAGTGTTCATAGTTTTCTAATTGATTGCAAATATGGCACTGGTCATCGTTTTTCAGTTTCCAGATATACAATAGCTGTTTACAAGGAAGGATATAGTGAAGTAACTTCCACCTGAATACTTTTAATTTATTAACTTGTAAGCTATAAAATATAAAGTTAAGCATTTTGTATAGATAACTTGACGAATCCAATTTAAACTGTGTATTCCATTTTAGAAAGCCAATTGGTGTTTCTTCCTCTATATTACATGAATTAATGCTTTTATATATTTCTTTTGATGGAAGGTTTTCAATGCAGATCAGTTTTGTACTATTTTGTGTTTTTAAGTATATCTTTTTATTTGTTTTAACTTGAGTGTAGCACGATTTATCTGATTTCATTTCCAACTGCCACTTTTTTGGTATTGCATGTTTTATTTTAGATATTTCTGATATCCAATTAGATTTAATGGTCAATTTATCTAATATTATCTTTTGTGAAATTTTTCCTGCTTTGTCGATTATATCATTAATAAATAGTATCCCGTTTGTTATCCAATGTGAAAATATTAAGCATTTGTTTTGAAATTTTATATGTTTATTGCCCCAAATGTATTGTTGTCTTATATTAACAAAAGTTGTACTGTTATTTTTGTTTGAGATATTTTTTAATTTAAACCAACTTTTAACTATTTCTAAGTAGAAAAGAGGGAGTGATTTACTAAGGTTTGGGATTGCTTTTATGCTACCTGGATTCATGTTGAATAAAGAAAAGTTTTCTCCAAATGTATTAAAAAAGAAAAGGGGAATAACTTTCCAGTCTGCAAAGTGTTTTGATGTTAATCGTTTGACCCAGGATAATTGTATAGCTGATAGGAAATTGTCAATATTAATCATTTTTAAGGCCTCCTTCCAAGTAATCTTTACATAAAGTTATCCGTTTAACTTTTTCTTTTTTATTACCCCAAATGAAGTTGTAAATCAGTTTTTTAAATTCATTCAAAAATTCTTTGGATATAGTTGTAACTGATGCCAAGAAAGTTAAGTTTGGTAGGATAAGAGATTTAATTACTGTTATCCTACCTATCATTGTGAGATTTCTTCTGTTCCAGTTATTGATTGCATCTTGAGATTTTTTAAAAATTCTTTCTGTATTTAATCTGTCACATTCATCTTTGTTAAGTCCAAAATATACCCCTAGGCTTTTAATAGGTTCTTTATTCCAGTTTATATTTTCATATTTATCTTTGCAACTTTTTAGTTTGCCTAGCCATATGCCTTCTGTTTTCGAGAGGTTAAGTTTAAGACCTGAGAGTGTTCCAAATATTTCAATCAAGTTTAAAGCATAGCTTATTTCCTGCTTGCATTTTAAAAAAAGAGTAGTGTCATCTGCTAATTGTGAGATTTTCAAACTATGTGTTTTAGAGTCTAATTTGATTTGAAATCCCTTAATACCAGTATCTTGCCTTATTCTGCATGCAAGAATTTCTACTGCTATAGTGAAAATTAGAGAACTGCATGGAAATCCTTGTCGTATCCCACGAGATACATTATAAGTTTCTGAAATCCAACCGTTATTTAATATACAGCCTTTAATATTCTTATATAATGTTTTAACCCATTTAATGAATGAGTTTGGGAGACCAAATTTTATAAGAGCCTCATACATAAAGCTCCATTCTAATGAATCAAAAGCTTTTGAAAAATCAATAAAAAGTAATGCACCATCAATCTGAAAGGTTTCAGCATAATCTATAATGTCTTGGATTTGGCGTATATTAAAACCAATATATCTATTTTTGATATAACCATTTTGATCGCTGTGAATTATTTTCAACAGTATTGGTTTTAAACGTTGGGCTATTGCATATGCAATGAGTTTTGTATCTACATTTAATAGCGTAATTGGTCTATAGTTATCTAGTGACAAAGGGTCTTTTTTTTTGTAAATTAAGGATATTATACCTATCTTTTGTATGGTTGTTAGTTCTCCGTCTTCATAGCATTTATTAAAAACTTCAACTGTAAATTCTTTTAAATTACTCCAAAAAGTGCGATAAAATTCTACACTTAGCCCATCTATTCCTGGCGATTTATTTAATTTCATTTTAAATATTGCCTTAGTGCATTCTTCTACTGTTAAGGGGCCTCCCAAGGAATCACTTTCTATTTCAGATAGTTTGTGATCAATGTTGGTCTCATTTATATAATTTTTAATATCTTTTAAATTTGGAGAAGTGCTTTTATATAAATTTTCATAGTATGATTTTTCTATGTTTAAAATTTCTGCGTGTTCTGTAACTATTTTCTCCTGCTTATCTTTTAGCGCTGTAATGCTCTTTTTTGTTTGACATGATTTTTCAAGGCCTAGGAAGAATTTAGTATTTTTCTCTCCTTCTTCTAACCATTGTACTCGAGATCTTATTTGTGCACCTTTAACTTTATTTGAATAGAGGTGTTCAAGTTCATTTTCAATGGTTTTAATTTCTTTTTTCATAATTGGGCTTGCATTTGTTTTTTCATTTAATTTTCTTAATTTTATTTCTAAATTTTTTATATCATTTTTATTTTCAAATGATCTTTGTTTGCAGTAAGTAAGAGTTGCGGTTCTTACCTCTGATTTAAACATATCCCACAGTGTTTTTAAATTTTTGGTGAGTATTTGTTTTTTATAGTTTTCAATTAATTTATTTATGAGGTCAATATAATTTTGCTCTTTAAGTATACTATTGTTTATTTTGAAAAATCCCCTGCCTCTTTCTTCTGAATTTTGTCTAACTTCTAAAGAAATGGCTTGGTGATCAGTATAAGAGATCATTGCTGGTCGAATATCTGCTTTCATAACATGCGGTCTTATATCAGGACTTATCAAAAAGAAGTCAATTCTACTGGCTATTTTTATATCATTTTTTCTTCTCCATGTGAATTGATCTGTATTTGGATTAAGTTCTCTCCATATATCTGTTAAATTATTTTTCTGTATTAATTTTTTTAAACTATTCACTGGTTTGTAGTTTCTTGGGATGTTATTAGTTTTTTTATCATTAATTGAGAGAGTTTCGTTCATATTACCTCCTAGTATAAGAATACCCAATCGATTGTTTTCAATTATATTTTGAACTTTTTTGAAAAATGTATTTCTGTTTTTGTGTTGATTTGGAGCATATACATTTATTAAAGTAAAAATATTGTCATTTATTTCTATGTTTATCAAAATTATTCTGCCTTCAGTATCTTTTATCTCGTTTATTGTTTTACATTTTAAATTATTTTTTACATAGATTGAGACCCCTCTTGATTGTGTGTTACCATGACTATGAAACATTTTACCATCAAACTCATTATTTATTGTTTGTTCATATTTTTCTATAAAATGTGACTCTTGAATGAAAAGAATATTACATTTTTGATTTTTTGTCCATAGTTGTTATCTTTCTCTTTTTCCTTTTTGGCCTAAACCTTGACAGTTTAGTGATATTATATGAAGATTTTCAACCATTGTTAAATTTAAAGTTTAAATTTGTTGTTGACATAAGTGCAAAAAGAAGATATATTTGTTTCACCTCATATTCACTACATATTTTCATTAGTTGTTTGATTTTATGGTTACTATTAAAACATTGGTACATGATTATTTGTGAAATAAGTACATATAGTAAACAAAATATAAACACAAACTTGACAATGTACATAAACACAAATAAAATATAACAACACAAACATATATAAGCATGCATACATGTAGTTAAGCACATAATTTTATTGATTTGTTCATATATATTAGATTTTGCAGTTGCTTTTTTTACATTTTTTGAGACTATATATATATATTGAGAAAACAGATATATTTTATTTATATCATGTATAATAATTTCATGGTTATTTATTTTTAGGTCTGATATTTTGACAGTAGGCTGTAATTGTTGGACTATATACATGGTGTAGGAATTTACAATAAGTTTAGAAACAGTCGAAATGTTTATAGTTTGCAGAAACGGTACTTGTATATTTCTATGGAGGAACATTTTGGCAAATAATGTGTGGCTTGCAGAGGATAGAAGGATGGTTTTTACCATATGGATTAAATAGAACTTTTGAAGTATTCCTAATATGTGGATTAAATAAGATATCCAAATGCCTTTTACGTGAAATGAAAAAGGGCAGTGTAATAATTCTAATATATGTGGATTGAGACTGATGGATAATTTGTTATAAAGCAAGCATATATTCAGAAAAGTTGATTTTGGATTATGTGGATTAATGAATTGGTATTCATCAAGGATATATTCTTTTTATCTATATTTCTACTTCGAGCGGCCAGTGTGTTTTTTTTAAACAGTTCAACTTCAAGTATATGTATAATTATTATGTTTATTGTGTTATGATTTTTTATATGAGTATTATGCATCATAATAAATTTTATTACCAATACAGCTTTCCATATATATTTTTTAAAACCTGAGAAAGTTATTTTTGTGATCGTTTTATCACAACTTCACTTGTTCCTACATGTATCTGTTATTTGTTGAAAAGCATATTCAGAACAGAGACATTTATATAGTGATTTTACGATATTCAACAATGGGGTCATTTGAAAATCATCTTTTTTTAAAATATAGTTTTATACACAATTTATTACATGTATATACATTTTCATTCATATTTATTGTAATACTATTTTCAAGGTGTATATAATCTGAAATTATATCACACTCTGACTTATTTTTTTTTATATTTTTTTCCTGGCTAAAAAGAGATATATACAAACAAATAAAAAATATGATACAGTATTTACAATGATTCATAGTTGTATTTTATTTTTGGACGTTTATGTGGTAAAATCTTAAGAAATGGGCGAAAAATAATCCTAAACCCTATTAATTGTTTTAAAAGGGAAGTAATAAGAAAGTTTTTTTCTCAGGGAAATTATTAAAAAAAAAAAGTTAAAAAATCTTTATCCTTTATTGTTAGAGTTGACAAATATGCTCCCGGTGTATTTTTTTTAGTAAACTTAATTATCAGAAATACTGTTTTACGGTTAAAATATTTTGTAATTTAATGTTTCCGAAGAAAATAAACGAAGTGCATGGTATATTAAGATTTGTACTTTTTTAAAAGCTTTAAATTAACATTTTTTTTACTGAAATTAAAATGAAAACAAATAAATAAAATAAATTGCATGGGTTGTTTAAAAAACTTAATAATAATGGAGTTGACGATATATAAAAATTAGTACTTCAAACCTTCAAATGGCAATTTTGTAATAAAATTTGAAAAAATGCAATAGATGATTAAAGTATACTATGGACGGTACATATTTTGTGATGCATTTTCAACATAAAATATCTACCCATGCACTCATTCTCATAAAATGATTAATATGATAAAAAAATGCCCCAATTTGACATTCGTTAAACTTTGGGCATTTTAGCTTGTTGCGTATTTTTTTAATTCAATTACACACCACCATTGTAATTTAACCAAATTTCGTTATAAAAGTATGCATTGTTGAATCAATGTTGATAATCAAAACAATCTTTGTACAGATGAGTACTTGCGATGAGGTAACACGTACCAAACAGTAATAAGAGAAAGGTTACGATTAAAGATTTCCTTAGTGACTAGTAAGTAAAGCCTTAGTAATTCTATGCATATTACTTCAGAATTCAATTAACTAAGGAAATTCTGACGAAATCTGACTTTAGGGAACACTTAACCCTTTCACTTTCCGCCAAATTGGACCTAAACTTATGGAAACGACACCATCCAAATTCAATCGAATATTGCCTTCGCGCCAACGCTCATTTTGAATCCATATGAAAGATGATTAATTGAATATTTCAGAAAATTTAAAATGAAGAAATTTTTTCTTCTTAAGTCACATGGTATCATTCAAAAAGTCACGTGACTTGCGGGAAAGATGTGAAAAAATATAAAATTATTGCAGGAAAAGTAGTGTATAGATATTTTTATGCGCTAATAGGGTATAGTTTTGGTGTCAAAGCAATGACCCAAGTCTGAGAGAAAAAGAAAAGTTGCCATAATGGTGAAGAAAGAGGAAATACGTGCTATATTCCTCGAAATGTTGATGCCCATAACATAAAAAATAACGGACTTCAGCAGTTTCTTTCGTCCAAATCTAATTCCTGACACAAATTTCTGGCTAAATCATGTTCATTCAAGCAGCAAACAAAAATTTAGCCTTTACAAGTAAAGATTCAACGAATTACTAATAATAACTTGGTGTTGTGGCCCATACTGGACTGTAGCAATGGAAAATGAGGTGGGGGTACAATTAGGCACACAAATTCTTTTAAAACAAACACAGATTGTTCTTTATCTGACTTTTGCATATATTGAGGACTCTTTTTGAAATTGAAAATAAAGTTAGTTAAGTTACATTTAATATAGGACATTATTTTTTCACCTTCGGCTATGAGATTCGAACACGCAATATTCCTGCTGTGGGTTGGTTCAGCTTTCCACTGCACCACTGGAATACTTGTTAAAAATTTTTGAAATTTTACTAGTTGATTAAAGGCATCGGAAGTATAGGTGGCACGTTAATATTTCCTGGCCCATAGGGATAATGATAAGTCTTTTTAAAATTTTCACCACTTTCTAGCACTGCCCAACATTCTACATACACAATTAACTGAAGTACTATCATTATAATATTCAAAAATTAATTTGAATATGTATGATGACCGTTTACTTTTTTTTGCTATCTTTATAAACCTAAGGCCACTAGTGCTTTTAGGTCTTTTATCATGCAGTGAATACAAAATTTAGAAAAATTCTCAAAAAATCATTTTCACCTGTATGTAAAATTATTTCATATTTTTCTACACCTGATTCATCCCTCAGTTTGGGAAAGTATGTTAAGTAGATACTGTATTTGTTGTCCAATCACACTGTTGAGATACATTGACTTAAGTAGGGTACACAAAAGAGTAACCTAAATTCCGGAATATAAATACTACGGTGCCACCTATACCCTGTTCAATAGTCATACTTCGATTAAACGAAAACAAATTCGTGTAACAAACTAAAACCGAGGGAAACACATCAACTCTAAGAGGGAAACAACGGAACAACAGAAACATTGAACTACAACAAAAGAAAACGCCAACATACATAGAACCGGACTATCTGATAACAACTGCCATATTCCTGACTTGGTACAGGACATTTTAAGAAAAAATGGTGGGTTGAACCTGGTTTTATGGCTAGCCAAACCTCCGGCTTATATTGCAATGTTAAAAATACAGCTAAAATGACAACACTACGTGACAGGAATACAGTACAAAAAAACGCAAGAACACTCAGCACAGAGAAATACATAAATAATTGATATAATAACACATTACAACATGTAAACCGCAGAATAACAACGGACACCCCCCATGAATTTACCACAGCACACCAGGACATCACAAACGAAATATAAACTGCGCGTTACATGAATGGATCAACGTGACGTATTTTTTGTGACGTTTATATTATCACAGGTAAATTTCTAAAAATAAAATAGATTTGTTTTATTTATAGACACGTACAAGAATATTAAATTGGGATTGAGTTTGTAATGGTGTCATTTTATGTATTTTCTAACCATGACAAGAATATTAAAATTGAATTGTGTTTGTAATGGTGTTATTATTTGTATTTTCTAACCATGTCGGTTTTTCTTCTAAATCAAAGCTGCATGTGCATAAACAAAAAAAAAATCCTGTGCATTTAGTTGCTTTAAACTTAAAATCATATAAATGAAGTAGCTGATTTTTTATATTAAATTTTACATACATATAGAAAATAAAAATAAAAAAACTGTAATATGAGGCAAGATCATGAAAGACCAAACAGTATTTTAAGCAAAAATAGGAGGATATCATACCTTAGTCTGCCATTATTTTCTTGACATATGCCTGTAAGGATGATTTAAACAAAAGTGTTTTCAACACTTGAGAAACAATGATTTGTTACATCTATTTCAACTTCGCTAAAAAATTTCATGATATTTTGGGGGATTTTGTCTCTTTTTTAATTAATTTTGTCAGAATTTGAGTGCATTTCAAGTTTATGATTGCTTTGGTACACTTTGAATCACTTATTCAACTTGTGTAGAAGTTTTAATAACAATTTAAATAGTATTCCCCCAAAATACACGGCACAGTTAATAAAAAAAGTCATACTGCCCCCAAAATTAATAGTATACTTCACCATACTCTACGGAAATATTGTGTTAAAATTATTTAAAAAAAAAAACGGTTTTCAGAGGAGAAAATCTTGTCAGTAATTGGCAGTTTGATATCAAACAGTACTTGATAGAAGTTTTAGGCACAATGAAACACAAAGCTGTGATATAGAGTTTTGATTTGAGCCCTCAACCACTGCTGTACGTAAACAAATGTCAAAGATTCAAGACTTAACGCAAACCAGTTGCCTGAAAACTTAGCCCATCGGTACGAAATTACCGATAGGAACGTGAAGGGGTTAAGTTAGGATGTTTTGATGCATACGGGCCCTGATGCTCATAATAAATCATACGTATTGTCAATAAACCACAAAGTAAAACTGAGGGAATAAAATTGAGAATGGAAACGGGGAATGTGTCAAAGAGACAACAACCCGACCATAGAGCAGACAACAGCCGAAGGCCACCAATGGGTCTTCAATGCAGCGAGAAACTCCCGCACCCGGAGGCGTCCTTCAGCTGGCCCCTAAACAAATATGTATACTAGTTCAGTGATAATGGACGTCAAACTAAACTCCAAATTATACACAAGAAACTAAAATTAAAAATGATGCAAGACTAACAAAGGCCAGAGGCTCCTGACTTGGGACAGGCGCAAAAATGCGGCGGGGTTAAACATGTTTTTTGAGATCTCAACCCTCCCCCTATACCTCTAGCCAATGTAGAAAAACAAACGTACAACAGTACGCACAGTAAAACTCAGTTTAAGAGAAGTCCGAGTCCGATGTCAGAATAGGAAACAAAAGAAAATAAACAAAATGACAATAATACATAAATAACAACAGACTTCTAGCAGTTACTGACATGCCAGCTCCAGACCTCAATTAAACTGATTGAAAGATTATGTCGTCATCATATGAATATCAGGCACAATCCCTCCTGTTAGGGGTTTAATATTACACCATCATAAAATATATGAGAAGAACATAACCCGTGTCATGCCAACAACTGGTTTTAGAATAAATATGTTTAATTCCGATGCAAAGACCCTATAAGTGAATCAATATTAAAGCCAAAATATGCAATCTTTAATGACCTGACAACAGTATCGTAATTATATCCCTTCTTAATAAGTCTGTTTAAAGGTTTTGTTAGCTTTTGAGGTGGATACTGACATTTTTGTGCTTTGTAAAGAATATTACCATAAAAGATTGGATGTGAAATACCCGAACGTATAAGATGTCTGCATGTTGAGTTATATTTACGAATGATGTCCTTATACCGATGATAAAATTTAGTAAATGTTTTGACTAGTTTATGATATCGAAAACCCTGGTGTTATAATTTTTCAGTAATACATAAATTTCTCTCGCTAAAATCTAATACGTTGTTACAAACACGAGCGAATCGTACAAGTTGAGATATATAAACACCATAAGATGGTGACAAGGGAACGTCACCATCTAAAAATGGATAATTAACGATAGGAAATAAAAAATCATCTCTTTTATCATAAATTTTTGTATTAAGCTTCCCGTTAATGATATAGATATCAAGATCGAGGAAAGGACAGTGGTCATTGTTAGTATTAGCTTTATTTAAAGTAAGTTCAACAGGATAAATTTCTTTAGTATACATACTGAAGTCGTCATTATTGAGAGCCAATATATCATCCAAATATCTAAAAGTATTGTTAAATTTTTGTATCAGATGTTGTTTCGATGGGTCTTTGCTGATTTTAGTCATAAATTGTAACTCATAACAATACAAAAACAGGTCCGCAATAAGTGGTGCACAGTTAGTCCCCATTGGAATTCCGATAACTTGACGATATACGGAATCTCCAAAGCGAACAAAAATGTTATCAAGTAAAAATTCAAGGGCAGATATAGTATCAAAGCATGTCCAATTGACATAGCTCTTTTGTTTGTTGCTACTAAAAAATGACCTAAAAGAGTTTGAACATATGTATTCGCATTCTGAATTTTTAAATGCCCATTTAATTAGGTGTGTGAATTTTTTCTTAATAAAAATATGAGGCAAAGTGGTATATAGGGTAGAAAAATCAAAACTTTGAACAGATTCAAAATCACCAATATATGCATGCAATTTATCAAGTACTTCCAACGAGTTTTTGACACTCCAAAAGTAGTTAATTCCACTATTTTAAAAGGCCTTATTTGAACAATTTATGATCAGGTTTTTGATTGTACCAAGTGTACTAGTAAGTAGAGTAGACAATTTAGTAGTGGAACAATGACTTGAAGACGAAATAAATCTATATTTGTAAGGTGATTTGTGTAGCTTCGGAAGCCAGTACATAGTTGGGACTTTCATTGTATTTGGTTTTGCTTGTAAAGAAGTAGCTAATAGTTTATGTTTGTTACAGATATCGTTTTCTGAAAATGAAGTCAGTTGGAATGTTGGTGAATTCGTGATTTCCTTTTGCAGAACCTAAATGTAAAATTTACGTCAAACTATAATGATATTATTAGCAGCTTTATCAGCCGGGACAAAAACAAATTCCTTGGCTAGTTCTTTTAGTTTATGTTAGATACGAGAAATAGGATTTTTATGGTTGTTGTTAAGAGTAAAATGTTCTTTAAAATGTTGTATACGTATATCATCTATCTGCATTACTGAATTAAAAAAGAGTCCAAAGATGTTTTGTCAGCTTTTTCCCGTTTTATCCATTTCAAACAGTAAGCACGAAGTGAGTCGTGGATGATATTACGACACTCATTCCAATTAATAATTGACGGGGGACAGCTTCGTATAGCAAAATAGTAAGGGGAAAAATACAACAAGCATATAGACGACAAAAACAAAACTTCTTTTGCCTATATAGGATATTATAAACTGAAAAGCATTATATATTACCATTGATGCAGTTGTTGATAATGCAAAACCTGCCCATTGATCAGCATTTGACGATAATACGACTTTCATCGTGAAAGTTACACCGGAACCTGCAGGCGTCCACATAAGTAAGTAGGAGCAACCTCCATCACAATCGCCCCAGCATCCATGTGTCCCACCACAAGCACTGTCTTTAGAAAAACCCTACACAAAACGAGACAGATACAATTTAACATTTGCCATTCGTCTAAAAAAAGAGGTGTTAATTGCATGACGTACTGTTGCATTAAAAGTATATTTGTGGTATATGGCGAGACTTTAATAAAATATTGAATCTAAATCTGCATTGAAGGTATGTTTTTGTTATGATTTCTAGAAGATATTCCCTTGAAACTTTCCGAAGAATTATGTAAAAAAATATTCGTTTTTCCATTCAAATATATGTATATAAAACAAAACCCAAACATGTTATCGAAATCAACGTGAACCTAACTTGTCCTAAACCGAAGTAATAAACAAAATTGAGGTTGTTATGGTTTTTGATTTTCTCTAATTCCTAGCCGATTTATCCTTTTCCTGACCTGTTGTTTATTTTTATTTAATCAACGTGTGTTTTTTTTTTATCTCAGTTCCTCATTGGTCAAAATTCAATTATGACGTCAAAATGTCTTGCTTTCTTCTAAATTTCCTATTGTGACATCTGGAAAAAAAGCGACCATGCCTGATGACGTTACTTAGAAAGAACACATCTTTTTGCAATCATTGGAAAAGAAGGACAAAGTTTGTCTGCATATCGTCTAAAATTCATTAGAGAAACAGATTCTACCACCAAATCTCGTGCAATACAATATTTCTCATCTCTCTACAGTTAACTTTTACATATTCAAAAGGCGCGGCGAGCTTCGCATTTTAAATTTGAAAATCAAACTGTCTCGATAGTTGAAATATCGTATCACACTCGATCCAGTGGTATAATCTATATGTATCTCCCCCTCCCAACAAAATAAAATAAATTAAAAACTAGAGAATCATGAAACTGAAATTGTCAACATACTTTAACTGAGATACGAAAGTACACCAATTTTTTTTCAATTTATTTATACAACATTAATGCAATATTTTATGTAGATATAGAAATGATGAATAAGTTTGAAAAACTTATGTAAACTTTTTTTTTAGTGTAAACCGATAAACAATTGTGATGTGTTGCCCTAAACATTCATTGCTTTGTTATGTTTGAGTCGTCAAACAATATTTGATTATATTTGCAAAATGTTGTAACTAAATGAAAAACGAAGTTTACAAATTCGTATTTTAGTTTCGACATACTTTCTGCGTATGTGATACATCTTGATTTCTTCTTTCGAACGATTGTGTACGGAAGTATAAAGTCAAACTTTTCAAGGTCGAAAGTATAAACGATGATATTAAGTATAAAATCGCACAAAGAATTTGTAACCTCGCTTCGCTCGGCGCTATATCTTCAATTCATCTGTAATCACGCCCCCTACTAAAACATGTGAGCGACTAAAAAATAACGGTTAGTGATAATGACTTAGCATTTTAACTGATGACGAAAATATTTTAAAAACTTTTCAACACATAAATTAATTAAAATTTGATTTTTTTTTTTAATTTTTGTTAAACTATCGCATCTAATAAGATATTGTACCACTCAACTTGAGCTTCAACACAAATGAATGCGAACAACAGTGGGGTTTTTTTTTGTGGACTAAAGGTTTTGAAAACTAAATAGCCTATATTCTAACAAAGCACAAACTATATTGTCAATATACTTACATTTACAAGATTGACATTAATGAGCAAACATATTATACATATTACAAGGACAGAAGAATTCGTTTTGATTGCTGTCATAATGACTTCTATCTGAAATAAACAAGGTTTCCTTTAAATAATATAATTGTCACCAGTTAATAAAAAATCGGTCGGATCGATCATACACATTTATAAATTACTCGATTTTTCTGTCGTAGATTTCAATCAGTTCATAAAAAACCAGTATGTATACAAGTCCTTATGAAATTTCAGTCAATGGTAGAATCCAACATTAAATAAAACAATGTAGACTAAAGGTTTTTCCTAACACTTGAAAAAATAACGTTTATCCAATATGTGTCAAACAATTGGAGAACTGTTGTTTATACAAAACAGATAGGAGAAAAGATACTACAAGGAAAGAGAAAACAAAAGGTCATAGAAGAGATACAATACATATGCACAGAAATGAAATTGACGAATAGACAAATACAGTACTATTTTCAAACTTAAGATTAGGTTACACGAACCCGATTGATCTGAAGTGCTCCGGAAGGGGAAGCAATTTCTGCTCCACAACTGGCACTCGTCGTATGACTCTTTTTCAAATCCTTTGTTGCGACATATCCGATAATAAGATATCATACGATAGCATATTGGTAATGTATGTTGTTAAACCTATAGTCATCAACAAAGTAAACCGGGACAATTCTGGAGTATCATTCCTGAATGATGACCAAATATATAAGAGACTGAAATGAAAACGCTGTTTTTTTCCTGACAAAAAGATAAAAAGACCGTTGCCTAGAAAAATATAATAGGATAAATACAACACAGCAAACTGACAAAGCAGCAACACGAACCCCTTTACAAAATAGGAATGCTGTCAGGTGTTCCAGAAAGGTAAGTAATCTCTTCTCTAAGAGTGGTACCAGACGCATTGGTCAGTTCAGGAAAACATCGGTGATAAAAACTCATAAACGACACCAGGCTTATAACTTGGTACGCCAGACGCGCGTTTCTTAAAAAAACCCTAGAGTTTCAACATTGATAAGTCGTATTCGTATTTTTAATGTTATAAGGGCGGGTACTACATGTGGAGCAGGATCTGCTATCCCTTTCGGAGCACCTGAGATCAACCCCGGTTTTTGATGGGGTTCGTGTTGCTCGGTCTTTAGTTTTCTATATTGTGTTTTTTGAACTGTTGTTTGTCTTTTTTTTCCGTTTGCCATGGTATTGTCAGTTTGTTTTTGACTTATGAGTTTGAATGTCCCTTTGGTATGTTATGCCTCTCTTATATAAGTGCGTAAAAGACAACGCTATTGTGGCTACGACATAGATATTCCATAATGGTTAACCAAACCACGATGGATTACGTATGTTTGACTGCTGTTTGGGTCTTTAAGGATGATCGCTTGTCATGTTTTGGAATTTTTGTCAGATTTTCGGAATCCTCTGGTTTTATCCATTTGAATGCCTTACAAAATTTTGCCCACTAACCCCCATTTTTCTTTTTATAAATCTTTTACATGTATAAATATAAGGCATCGGTAAAAGTCTTATAAAATCTTTGTTATTTTTTAATAGTTTTTGAGAACTTAAACTTGTAAATGATAAAGCTATGAAAAATCAAGAGAGAACATTTTCCCGCCAAAATGTCAATGGCTAATATCTCAAAAACAAACACACGGACCTATATTTTTTTTCTCGCTTGTTTGGTTCCTTTATTATACCCCTATCAATATATTCTAGTATTATGGAAAGCTTGTTATTTTGAAACTGAGTAGCGAACTTCCTTAAAATAAAATGAAAAATTTATAAACTGTACCAAAACGATTTTGTCATCAATTAATACACAGCTTATAAGTTAATCAGTATATCTTTTTTTTTTATTTAAGTGAAAAATGGTAGAAAAATATCCAAATGCAACAAACCACAGATAATCATTATTTAATAGAATGACTGAACAATCGGAATAATCGGGATTCATATATTGCAATGCCGCTGCTTGTGGACTATCGCTACCAAGGTGTAAAATCAGACAAGAATAGTTAGTCCTTCTGTATTGACATGATTTGTCTGTAAATATTATTAGATAATAATTATGAAATTGGACCAAAAACTATGGCTGCAAACATATCTAGCAAAATTTTGAAAGTTTGTTATCATTTTTATTTTCGTTTACTGATTTAATGCACATCACTGTGTGTTTTGCACACTGGTGTTGTATAATTTACTTAAATGTCTTGATGTCTTTATATTAATTTTTAAATTCTATTTCTTCGCCTCATCCGTAAAAAGTCCATTGGCACAATATCTAGAGCCTAATTGAGGATTATTAGTATCTTAAAAAAACAAGGGTCTATTTGTTGTAAAAATGTAACAGAATCTTGTGTTACTGTACCGCTTTTGAATTAATTGAAGAAATGGCAGTTTTTTTCCAGTTTATATATTTTATTTCTTAAACTTATATCTTAGACTTAATAATGAGGTTATATCATTTCATACAAATGATGTGAACTAACTGTGTGTTTTACGGGGGTTACAGTATCTGTTTTAGCAATAGAAACTTTTTATAAGTGAAATTATTTTTCACATATCAATAGGCAGGGTTATTTGCAAAACGTATGGACACATTTTATCACGCCAAAGCCTCACACTCTCATTGCCTTAAACTCAATGCTGGTTGTTAAAAAGTGACTTACCTTAAGTTGCTAACCTTAATTCTTTTAACAAATAAAGGATAAATGTATGAACAAAATCACCAAGAGATACAGGTGAATAATCTTTTAAAAAATTACCTATTTTCTTAAATACTATGGTTTACAGTTCATTGATTAATTTAACGACAAAAAAAAATCCATTTATTTATTTTTAGCAAAATAATAATAGTTCTTACGGAAAAGGGTGATCAACTTCAGCAAAAAATAAATGATTCCATTATATTAGCTTGCGCATGTGTTAGTATTGAACTGTTTGTTCTGATAACATATAGATTAAACTCATCAAAGTATTATATTGAAAATACAAAACATCCATGTGATACGGTCGATAATCATCATTAACATATATTTAAACATTGTAAACCTAACAAGGACTGGTATTTCTGCCCCTGGCATAGTTAAATCAAAGTTCCAGATCTTGCTAAACACTACAATGAAGAAAAAAATGACGTAGTGTTCAATCTTGATTTATAAAAACTTATTGGACTCAAATTACATTTTAGATTGTCTCGTAAAAAAGACAATAACTGTTTTCTTTAATAGTTTCATTAGAAATTAATATGATTTGTTATAAAATTAAAACATGCATTTTATAAAAGCAATACTGAATAAACCAGGTTTGCTTGAATAAGTATTTAAAAGTATGCAATGATGATCAAATCTTATGCAGAAACGTATGACATACCATATATATTCCTTGATAATTTTCCCTTATGAAATTATACACTATTACCTGCACCTTTAATCATTGTTTAGCTTTGTTACGATTTATGTGATCTGAAATATTTTTTTTTGCACGAATGAAACAGTTTCTGAAATAATATTCTTCGTTTATGCTAGACTTTTAACAGCTTAATGTATCAAATGTTAGAGAATTTTCGAGATCAGATCAACATGTCCAAAATTGTTTCCTATTCTGACATCGGACTCGGACTTCTCTTAAACTGAGTTTTACTGTGCGTACTGTTGTACGTTTGTTTTTTCTACATTGGCTAGAGGTATAGGGGGAGGGTTGAGATCTCAAAAAACATGTTTAACCCCGCCGCAGTTTTGCGCCTGTCCCAAGTCAGGAGCCTCTGGCCTTTGTTAGTCTTGTATCATTTTTAATTTTAGTTTCTTGTGTATAATTTGGAGTTTAGTATGACGTCCATTATCACTGAACTAGTATACATATTTGTTTAGGGGCCAGCTGAAGGACGCCTCCGGGTGCGGGAGTTTCTCGCTGCATTGAAGACCCATTGGTTGTCTCTTTGACGCATTCCCCATTTCCATTCTCAATTTTATTTTACTTAACATAACAAACAATCCTTTGGTCAACTTTCTACAAGGGAGTTGAACCATTAGTTTAATCAATGAAATGATTATTATTATTAGTAATACGCATCTAATATTTTATTGATAAAGGGATAACAGGAATCGCGAAAAAAAAAATCCCACATTGTACAGCAGACTACATCAGTCATGAACAACCGACTCCTCCGAAAAAAAGACAAACAAAGAAAAACAACAACGAACAACACATGGTCCGGACAGCCAGACCTGATACAGGCACAAAATGCGTTGGGATTAAACACGTTTTACGTGTGCACAAACCCTTTTCACTAGTTGAGGCCATATGTTGTTTAACTAAAACTCACATAAAAAAATTAATTTGATTGGCAATCTGGTTTTAAGTATACATCTGAAAAAAGATCTTCTTTTTATTGTTAATGGCTAAATCATTCAATTATTTCATCAAACTATTTCTAAAAGGCAAACAGGATAAGATGGATATGTACGGGAACAAATATCTCACGAAACACAAGAAAATATCTAAAATATCAATAGAATACCCTTCAATTGTTGATATTCATTTTGACGAAATTTTTCTTCTTCATTTTGACGTAATTTTTGTTCTTCCTTTTTACGGTTGCTGAAGGTTTTCAATGGCAGTTTACGATACAATCTCAAATCGACACAAAAAGGATCCAGTTTTAATGTTTTCATATTGAAATCACCCTCCCCCAAAAAGACAGTTATTTTTCTGTTGCTTTTTTAAATTTCATTTATCAGTGAAAGTGAAATTAGCATATAAGGATAAAAAAATGGCAACAATCTTCTACCCAGACATTCCTCCAATGGTTAGATTTTGTTATTTTAATTTTTTTAACTTTTATACCAACTTCTGTATTTGATGAATATGATATTGCAAGATCGAGGTGAATAAAGAGATAAGAAGATGTGGTATGATTAATAATGATACAACTCTCTACCAGAGACCAAATGACAAAGAAGTTAACAACTATAAGTCACCGTACGGCCTTCAACAATGAGCAAAACCCATACCGCGTAGTAAGCTATAAAAGGCCAGAAGTGACAAATGTAAAACAATTCATAGGAGAAATTTAATAGTCTGATAAATGTGCAAAAAATGAACGAAAAACAAATATGATATACAGCAGCAAACGAAAACCACTGTATTACAGGCTCCTGACTTGAAACAGGCATATACAGAATGTGGCGGGGTTAAACATGTTTGAAGGCGCCGACCCTCTCCTAACCTTGGACAGTGGTGCAACGGCACAACACAAGAACAAAGTATACAAAACAATAAACGAAAAACAAACATGACAAACAGAAATAAATGACAACCACTCAATTACAGGCTCCTGACTTGGGACAGTCACATAGAGAATGTGGCGGGTTAAACTAGTTGTACGACAGTCTTATCAAATTCCGTTACATTTACAACGATGCGTGAACAAAACAGACATTATAAATAAAATAGTCAAAATATGGGTACAGCAGTCATCACTGTGTTACAATATCAAAACAAACAATTATTTACAAAAAAGCACAAAAGCATCTATCAAATTAAAAACCACATTCATTGCTTCGCGTGTCTGACGTCAGAAAATGTAAACGTCACATAAGAAGAAATTTTGTCATTCAATGTTTATTCAAAACAATTTTATAATTTCACATGGGGAATGTTGGTATACAGGGTTAAAAAATCAAAAGTTATGTTAGAATTAATTTCAGAAATAGACCGAGATTTAAAATTGTCCAGAAGTTCTTTAGAATTTTTAAGAATCCACATATGGTTAATACCACTACGCGAGTAAAATAAATTTGTCGTTTGTCGTTCAAAGTATTTTCAAATTTATAATAGAACAATAACATAATGACATATAATAGAACAATAAAATAATGACGGGATCATTTAAAGTAAGATACAGGTATCGACAAATTGTAAAGTTATGTATGTGCATATTTGTATAACAATAATATTTAGTTTGATTTTAAATTACTAGCAAAATCAATTTTTATGCCAATAAAAACAATATTTAAATATATACTTAGTATTGAATTGGTAACCTTTTAGAATACGTTTATTTAAAGGATTGATAAGTTTGCCCGGATCGTATTTTTCATTTTTATATTCATTTTTGTATTTTGAATATGATGTCGCAAGATGTATGTAAAGCATTTCAATTTTGCTACCTCTTTTTATTCATATAGAAAAAAGTCGATGGTGGTGTGTTTTTAGCTCAATCAAAATCAATATCTAAAACATTTTGAAATATCTATTATTTTTTTGTAAATGAAACTTAAAGTCTAATCTGAAAGAAGATATGAATAACCAATTGATAAAAACAAGATGAAACAAAACTTTTCACTGATACATTGATGAACTATTAAATGGACCTTGAAGTCTTTTGTTGTTTTGTAACTGTTTGAGTTGTCTGAAATCCACTATCTTTTTTTACACAAAAGAACTTAATCTTTTCATAAAAATTAAGTGGTATGTTGATATCGATTATGGCAGTCAGAAATATCAATTGCATTGCAAAAATATATAAAAATTTCGAAATTCATTCGTATGGAAAATATTTGGTCTCATTACAAATGAGTGCCTATATATAGGTCAACTAACCAAATTAAACAACCTATTTCAAAATATCATTATAATCTTTGTTTACTAGTTATTTAAATCCTTAAAACCTGCTAGTTAAGTCGACTAATAATGGCAGTTTTCCCCCCACTCCGTTCTTTAATACCCTTTTCTGTGAACATAAGTTTAAGCAAATTATGTTATTTTTGTGATCGATACACATCAAAATCAAAGAAAGCATTTTGTTGAACTGGAGTGACCATTTTTATCATCACAAATATTCAAAGTAAAAATAATTATATAGATGACATAGTATAAATGTCGAAATTACCGTTACAATTCTGTTCGTTATTCTTTCTTATAGTTTATTTAAAAAGCCAATGCAAATGAAATAAACACTTTATAAATTTCGTGCAACATGAAAAAAACCATTTCGATGTACTTCGGTAATATCCCCAAGTATGAGTTTTAATTAAAATATCACATTAATAAAATTTGTGAAAAGAAACTGGAGGCAGGACATGGAATTCATACTAACCTTTGAATTTTTACTACTACAGGTCAGACATCATTACTCTCTACGCCTTTCGACAATGCAGAAAAGCGAGTTTTCGTATACAATATTAATTATTCAAAATTTGAAACTTTTAATTATTTCAACTAATTACAAAAAATCGAAATTATCTAGCGGTAAAAATGAAGAATTTCTTTAATTTCGTGGAAAGTAACAATTTAAAAAGGTAAATGTGAGGTCAAACTATTAGATTTAATTAAGAATTGTTATTGTTGTTCATCGTCTTGACTATAGGTTCTCAATGGCAGAGTTTCTGATACAAAAGACACCAACACAAATCCAGTTTAATTTTATTATCATTAAACCCCCCCCAAAAAAAAAAAAAAGGAAACAGTATCTTTTCTTTTTTCTCTCTTTTCCTTTTTTTTATTTCCATAATCATTGAAAGTAAAATGAGCAGTATAAAACAAAGGAGACGATCTATAATCAATCAATGGTAACATATCATGATTTATTTTATCCGTTGACTTTCAATATTCTAAATTTCTAACTTTTATATCCACTTCTGTATTTTTTATAGGATATTACAAGGTGGATTTAAAGTATTTCAAAATCCATGTAGTATCAAAACTCTGATATATTTTTAAACGTCTGATACTTAAATTTTGCAACCACTCTTTATTCATCTCGAGAAAAGTCACTATGTAACGATGGTGGTGTATATCTAGCTGAATCAACTTGACTGTCAGAAACATCTAAAATGTTTTAAATTTTTGCAAATAAAAAAATATGTTTAATTTGAAAGAACCGATGAAATATCAATTGATAAAAATCAAATGTAACAAAACTTTTCCCTGATACATTGATGAACTTTTATTTGGATCAAAAAGCCTCTTCTGGATTTGCCGCCATTTTATTTATTTGAAACGCATTATCTTTTTTTAAACAAATGCACTTGATCTTTTCTTTGAATTTAGTTGTTTTTGTTGACAACTGTGGCAGTCAGGAATATCGTATCAAATTGCAAAATTTATAAAAATTTCGATATGCATTTAAATAGAAAATATTTAGACTCTTTACAAATAAGTGCATATATTAAATATTACCAACTTTACACGCCTATTTCAAAATATTATTATGATCTTTGTTTACTAGTTATTTAAATCCGTTCCACGCGGTAGTTAAGTCGATCAACATAGGAAGTGTTTTTCCATTCCCTTCTTTAATACCTAGTTAGTGTGCCAAAACCTATTATCTTATAGGAAAAAAAGATCAGAGTTAATATATTGTAAATAGACCTGAAAGTTGTTTTGCTGTGGCATATACTTTTTATGATTCTTACGTAGCTTTTATCGTCTCTCATAACTTGTTTTGATGGGCATTTGTATTTTAAAGTAAAAATGTTTTATGTATAATAATGGGTATATCTTAGTACAAAAGGTGAAAAGTCAATAAAACATTGAATTGCATTGAAATTACCTTATTCTGAGGACATTATAATCTTCAAATTATGTTATGTGTCTGGTCGATACTCACTTTAAATCATAGAAAACATTTTGTTGTACTGGAGTTACCATGTTCATGATCAAATCTATTCAAAGTAAAAAAAGGAAATAAATACCTTGGTATAAATATTGAATCAGTTAATCGTAAGAACTTTGTTTATTATTGTTTTTCTTAAAAATGTGGATCCTTAAAAATTCTAAAGATCTACTGCTAAATCTTAGATCACAATCTCTGCAATTTTGCAGCAACATTAAAACTTTAGATTTTTCTACGCTTTACACTGCTATTCTCATGCCCAATTGAAAGATCGACTTCACCATCTCATCAAACAGTGCTTTTTCCATAAAAATAGGAATCTTAGATATAAATGTTTTGTTTTGGGTTATGATAATTCTTATTTTGTGAAGAACTACACTGATTCTACCAGAAAATATACTGAAGATGATATTATCAAAATTCTGGACTTTTTGATCGACAATATATTTGGTGAGTTTGGAGGATTGATATTTCAACAGACAGTAGGTATTCCAATGGGTACTAATTGTGCACCACTACTGGCCGATTTGTTTTTGTACTTGTATATAGCAGAATTCATTCAGAACCTTCTAAAAGACGAATAGAAAAAGCACCTTGCAAAATTCTTTAATTTTACTTTCAGATATATTGATGATGTTCTATCACTGAATAACCCAGATTTCAATCAGTACTTACATTTCATATATCCCAGTGAACTTGAAATTAAGGTTACAACTGATACTAGAAGGACTGCTTCGTACCTTCATCTTTTCCTCAATATTGATACAGATGGACGACTTCACACTGAAATCTATGACAAACGGGACGATTTCAACTTCCCAATTATCAATTTCCCATTTCTCAGCAGTAACATACCTTTAGCCTCATCATATGGTGTTTACATATCTCAGCTGATACGTTACGCCCGTGTATGTTCACACTTTAAGGACTTCATATACAGGAGTGTGCTCCTTACGCAGAAACTGCTCAAACAGAGTTATGATGAGGAAAGATTAAAAATGACACTCCGTAAATTTGATGGACACCATCACGAATTGATTGATCTATACGATGTGCCTGTGTCTAAACTAACTAACGACATTTTTACCACGTCTTAGATTCGTTTAAATTTCGTGCAAAATGAAAAATACCATTTCGGTGTATTTCGGTAATATCCCCAAGTATGAGTTTTAATTCAAATATTACTCTGACAAAATTTGTGGAAAAACTGGAAGTGGGACATTGAATTTCATACAAACTTTGTTACTTTTACATATTCAGACTGCATTACTTCTTTACGCCTTTCGACAATGCATAAAAGCGAGTTTTCGTATACAATATTAATATTTCAAAATTTGAAATTGTTAATTAATTCAACTAATTTCACAATATCGAAAAAACCTAGCGGTAACCATGAAGAAACTTTTTTAATTCCGTGGAAATTAACAATTTGAAAGGGTAAAAGTGAAAGTCAAACTCTCAAATTTATTTAAGCATTTATTGTTGTTATTCGTCTTGACGGTTGCTATAGATTCTCAATGGCAGAGTTTTCGACCTAAATCAAAACGACACCAACAAAAATCCAGTTTCATTTAATTCACATTTACCCCAAAAGAAAGAAAGAAAACATAGTATCTTTTCTTTTTTCGGTCTTATCTTTTTTAATTTCCATAATCATCGAAAATAAAATGAGCAGGGGTAAAACAAAGGAGACGGATCTTCAACCAAGACTTTCCGTCAATGGTTACATTTCATAATTTAAGTTTATCCGTTTTCTTTCAATATTTATTTCTAACTTTTATATCTACTTCTGTATTTTGAAAATTATATTGCGATGTGAATGTAAGGTATTTTAAAATTTATGAACTATTAAAACTTTTATTGTATCTTTTTGAACGTTAAATAATGTAAACCAACTAATTTTCGCGAATATACATCGTCGTGAATATGTAAAATTTGGATCTTTTCTTATTCAACTACATCAAGTGAATTTAAAAATGACGAAATTAAGTCACCGCGAAGTGGGCTAGAAAGAATGAAACGCAAACTAAAATATCCGCTATTCAAGTACACCAAGTGAATTTCAAAATGGCGAAATTAAGTCGCCGCGAAGTATGCTAGAAAGTAATTTGGTTTACAGTACTTAAATTTTGACACCACTTTTTCTTCATCTCGAAAACTGTCACTATGTTACGATGGTAGAGTGGTTTTTAGCTCAATCAAGTTGACTGTCAGAAACATTTGAAATGTTTTAAATTTTTGCAAACAAAAATTTATGTCTAATTTGAAAGAACCAATGAAATACCAATTAATAAAAACAAAATGTAACAAAACTTTTCCCTGATACATTGATGAACTATTACTAGGATCATAAAACCTTTTCTGGGTTTGTCGCCATTTTATTTATTTGAAACGCATTATCTTTTTTTTTTCACAAATGCACTTAATTTTTCATTAAATTTATTTGTTTTTGTTTACAATTGTAGCAGTCAGAAATATAGTATTAAATTGCAAAATTTGATATATGCATTTAAATAGGAAACATTTGAACTCTTCACATATGAGTCCCTATCTAAAGTTTAATTAACTTTCAACACGCTATTTCAAAACATTATCATAATCTTTGTGTACTAGTTATTTAAATCCGTCACACCTGATAGTTGGGTGGATAAACATTGCAAGTTTTTCCCACAACCTTCTTAAATACCCTTTTCTGTGAATATTAATTTCTTCAAATTAGGGTATTTTTATGTCAATACTAATAAAATCATAAAGAGCATTTATTTTATTGTACTGGAGTGACCATGTTCATGATCAGATGTATTCAAAGTAAAAACAATGAAAGAGATGACTTTGTATAAAAGTTGAATAAATCACCGTGACAGTTTTGTTCATTATTCTGTTTTTGTAGGTTAATTAAAAAGTCAATGCAAATGAAATTAACACTTTATAAATTTCGTGCAACATATATGTTGGCATTACTTACATTTTACATTATACCATAGAAAAGAGAGATGCTGCGAAAGAGGGAGACAGATAATTACTGTATTAGTATTCTTAAATTATATAAGTAAAACATATACTTTTTCATTTCTTTTTTGTTAGCTCTCTCTCTCTCTCTCTCTCTCTCGTAATTTGTAAGCCTCATATAATTTCTACTTTCAATTATATTAAGCAACTGACGTTGTCATTAAAAAATGATACTAGTACAGTATATATAGTTCTGTCTATATTGAAATGGAATATTAATTGTACCGAAGTATTTCTAGACTAAAAAGGTTCCTGCTTGTTTTTTTTTTGTAGTACTTGAGTTACCATTTTCATCAATAAATCTATTAATTCAAAGTAATATAAATGAACTAACGACTTGGTAAATGTAAAATCGGTCACCGAGACTTTATTATTCATTATTTTTATTCATAGTTTAATTAAAATGCCTTTCCTTCATTACAACATCATTTCGATGTATCTCGGTTATTTCCCCAAGTATAATTTGTAATTCATACTTTACTTCTTTATCACTGGTAAATTTCGAAATACTATGCGTCACCTTTTTGACCTTTTCTATTCATTAGACGATGGGAAAGTTTCCAATGTCGATCTATATCAATTAACCAGAATGATCAGTTTTAAAATGAGGCTATGAAGACAAAACTTTCAAATGAATTCTTGATTAGTTTTGGATACATTTATGTACCTGTGAGAATAACAATTGTCAACACAATAAAAATGAAAAAGAATAGAAAGATAAACAATAGAGAGGAGAAACAAATGAATGATGTCATCTCTAAATCACCTCATATAGCTAGAGCAATATTTGCACTTCATAGAATATTTGATACAACGTCATAAACAGTTCAGGAAGACATTTTTTCTGCAATTCCATAAACAAGTATACAGAAAAAAAGAAAAACAAAAGAAATAAGATAATCATTTAAGATCAATACAGTATATATAGTTCTGTCTATATTGAAATGGAACATTATTCATACCGAAGTATTTCTAGACCAAAAAGGTTCCTGGTTGTTTTAAAAGTATTTACGGGATGGTGATTCAAATTTCAAATATAAAGCAAATGACAAACCATTTTTAATACCATGATTGTTTTTTAAATTTTGTTTTAGAAAAACAATTATCATCTGTTTTTAATACATAATTTTCATACCAGCATTACTGTTTTAAATCAAATTTGATTGCATAAATATTTTTAAGTTTAAGAATGATCGAATATAAAACGATAATTTTGGTGTTTTAAGCATACCCGTATCCTCGGAATGAACTTCCCCCAACAGCAGCAAAAATCCAGTATATAAAAAAAAAATTCAATGCAATCGACACGTGTTTCTATAGGTTGCACTTTGTAAATACAGCTGAAACAGGGGTGGGGGTATAAAATGTACTGTTAAAGAAAAGTTAGAGTATATGCAGTGATTTCTTTTAGGCTATAATTCTGATAAATAAATATTGTTGTGAGAAAAAGTGTTTTTCAAGAGTTTTCTATTTGAATAAATGTTTGTATAGGTTGCACTTTGTAAATACAGCTGTTTCACAAGCCACGCCTCTTTTGGGGAGATATATAATATTCATAGATATTTGATTTTGTTTATGTACTGGTTCCCAGATATGATCTCTATGTTTCATCTCATAGAGAAATAACTTGGGAATGTTACCAGTATAAAAACAGATGGTAGCGGCGATAATTGAATTCTGAGGGACACCAAAAGTTGAGGTATGGATAGTACAGAATTTTAGTATAAGTTTAAACTCTTAGAAGTTCGGGGCATATAAATGTTGAAAATATGCCGCACAGCCCTATGTTTTGACCTTTGAATAAAAAAGTAGTGCATATCAACTTTCCGTTATAGGATATAATTTTTTACGAAACTTCATAGTTAAAGTGGCACAACTTTAGCCGCAAGGGAGTTCCTATGGGAAATTGCATTGTCTATATTTACAGAAGTGCAACCTATATTGGGTGAAAAAAGAGAACATATAGAATTTCACCAAATCTGGTTTATCTCAGAGATTTTAATGAAATTAACTCAAATATAAAGTTTTATAAATACTTCATCAAGATTGAGAAAATCCTGGGCCTCAATTATGAAGACTCAGCATAAATTCACAGTTTACAGTATGCGTAGTGTACTTAAATCCCTGAATGCAAAATAAATTCATAATATATGCATATTTGTAATTAAAATTGTTTAGAAGTGCCTATATTTACTCTTCGCAGTCATTGAAACTCAAAGATCCTTGATGAATATTGTTGTTTGGGTGTTTTTGTCCTGTCGATAACCCAAAAGTAAGACGTTACACCTGAATTTGCTTTTTTGTGACCGCGGCAAAAAAAAAATACAAGCTATAAATACAAAAATACCTCAATAAAACTAAAAGTAGTGTGTTCTATCCTAAATATGTACTAAATATTCCATATTCACAGCAACAGCAGAATAATTTAGCAAAGTTGAGGCCCTAGTGGCCAAAAACAGAGAAAAATGCCTCTACCCCTTGGTCATAAAACAGATAATTTAACCTGTAAATGCTATAATTTTATAATTTTAAAGGTTTTTTTTGTATAGAAAAAAATAACTGTGCTTGGAAGTTATGCAAAAAACAGATGTTAGCAGTCAGTTCTATAAAGCTTTTAGTGAATTCATACATACAACTTTTGCAAATATGGCTTTGTTTAAACACTTCTAGTTCTTATATTAGCTAAATAATGTTAGATATATGGTTAGAGATGATATTGTTGTGACAAGATTACTAAACGGACCATTTGAGGCAGAAATTGTGAATTTTTATTGACAAATAGGCATACAGTAAGATGTGGACTGGACACAGAGGCAGGATTGGATACTTTATATAATCTTGAATGTTGGAATGATTTACTACTCAACTTTACATTTATAGTATTATGAAATGCTTTCAATTTGTTATCAGAATAATTTCACACAGGTTCTAGCTATGTCATGTCAGCAAACATGCACATAGGGTAAGCTGACAATAATTAAAGTCTTGTTTTCAAATTCTTTAAAAATTGAAACAGGGGTGGGGGTATAAAATGTACTGTTAAAGAAAAGTTAGAGTATATGCAGTGATTTCTTTTAGGCTATAATTCTGATAAATAAATATTGTTGTGAGAAAAAGTGTTTTTCAAGAGTTTTCTATTTGAATAAATGTTTGTATAGGTTGCACTTTGTAAATACAGCTGTTTCACAAGCCACGCCTCTTTTGGGGAGATATATAATATTCATAGATATTTGATTTTGTTTACGTACTGGTTCCCAGATATGATCTCTATGTTTCAGCTCATAGAGAAATAACTTGAGAATGTTACCAGTATAAAACAGATGGTAGCGGCGATAATTGAATTCTGAGGGACACCAAAAGTGAATGTATGGATAGTACAGAATTTTAGTATAAGTTTAAACTTTTAGAAGTTCGGGGCATATAAATGTTGAAAATATGCCGCATAGCCCTATGTTTTGACCTTTGAATAAAAAAGTAGTGCATATCAACTTTCCGTTATAGGATATAATTTTTTACGAAACTTCAAAGTAGAAGTGCCACATCTTTAGCCGCAAAAGGAGTGAGTTCCTATGGGAAATTACATTGTCTATATTTACAGAAGTGCAACCTATAGTGACCTCCGTCAGATGAATATATGAAAAAAAATAAGTGCCTCCGATCAACGGATCCAAATTTGGTCTGATCAGAACACTCAACATTCCACAAGGCTGTTTAAACATCAGTTTTAACCAATGAACTGAATATTAACAGCCATATTTATCATTTAATAATACATTGAAAAGGGAAAACATGAATCGTGAAAAAATACCATATAGAACAGCAGACCACACCTACCACCATAACCAACTACTCCGAAAAACTGACATGTAATCAAGGACAAACAACTACGACCAACACATGTTCCAGACAGCCTGAAGGCAACGACATGAAATATAGCGTTGGTTAAGCAAGTTTTACTTGCGCACAACCCCGTCACCTTTTTTGCCTATCTAAACCATGATATATCGATCTACTAAAAAACCAGCAAAAATATTTTTCAATTGACAATCTGGTCTTTACGTATTAATCTGAAAAGGGATAAACTTTTTACTATAAATGGCTAAATCGATCATTTAATAATTTTACCAAACTTTTTCTAAAAAGCAAAAAAGATATGGTGGATATGCACGAACATAAATTTTTCGCGGAGCACGTGAAAATGTGTAGTATATCAATGGCATAACATATTTATTGTTGTTCTTTGTCTTAACAGTTGCTAGAAAGTCTTAATAGCAAGGTTTACGTACAAACTCAAAACGACACCAAAGAAGAAAATGGAACAAAACATTTCACTGATGAATTGATGAACTTTTATCTGGACCTTAAATTCTTTTCTGGTTTCGTCGCCAATTGTGTTTTTTGAAATGCATTATATCTTTATACAATTATGGGACATGATATGTTGACTACTCCCAGTGCAAATGAACTTGTTCTTGAAATGTTTCTTTTCATTAAATATGGTTTTTTATTGACAACTTTAATGGTTAGAAATGTCGTAATATAATACAAAAGTGATAAACAAATAATTTCGAAATGCATTTATGTGGAAATATTTATGGCATCTCAAACGATTGCATATAGTTCAATCAACCTTACAAACGCTATTTCAAAATGTTGTTATATTGATCTTTAGATTCGTCACAACACGTAGTTAGACTGTTAACATTTGAAGTGTGTTCCACTCCCTCCTTTTCAAAATTCCTTGATCAGCGGAAATATTTTCTTTAAGTTAGCTTATTTCTGGTCGATAATGATAGCAAATTCTATAAAGCATTTTGTAGTACTTGAGTTACCATTTTAATCAATAAATCTATTAAATCAAAGTAATATAAATGAACTAACCACTTGGTAAATGTAAAATCGGTCACCGAGACTATATTATTCATTATTCTTATTCATAGTTTAATTAAAACGCCTTTCCATCATTACAACATCATTTCGATGTATCTCGGTTATTTCCCCAAGTATAATTTGTAATTCATACTTTACTTCTTTATCACTGGTAAATTTCGAAATACTATGCGTCTCCTTTTGACCTTTTCTATTCATTAGACGATGGGAAAGTTTCCAATGTCGATCTATATCTATTAACCAGAATGATCAGTTTTAAAATGAGGCTGTGAAGACAAAACTTTCAAATGAATTCTTGATTAGTTTTGGATACTTTTATGTACCTGTGAGAATAACAATTGTCAACACAATAAAAATGAATAGAAAGATAAACAATAGAGAGGAGAAACAAATGAATGATGTTATCTCTAAATCACCTCATATAGCTAGAGCAATATTTGCACTTCATAGAATATTTTATACAACGTCATAAACAGTTCAGGAAGACATCATTTTCTGCAATTCCATAAACAAGTATACAGAAAAAAAAAGAAATAGTATAATCATTTAAGA